TACTAACATGTACTGTCTTCATCCTAAAATAACCAATGTTGTCCTAAATAAAAATATATTAATATTTATGATACCGAATAAGTATGGTTAGATTTATCAAAAAAAATATTTAGTCATAAATATTAATGTTGTTTTCAATAAATACGTTCAAACTTAAAATGGTTTCGCTTAGAACAAACCTAAAACATAAACGTAAGTTATTTTGGGACAGAGGGATTATATACATAGTGTTAAATACTAAGTGCTATTAGACTAATCGTGAAACATATTTCCATAGTAAATCTCTTTAGAGATATAAATGTGGATACTATTTTTTCTATAAATTTGAACAAAACAAAAAATATTTGACTTGCTCGACATTCTTTTTTGGGACGAGTAGTAGTGCTGTCAACTCGGAAGCAATGGCATCTAGTGTGCGCTCAAGTCACAAGCAAATTAGGTAGTCCTAGTCCTAGATAAGATACGAGTAGTGGTACGTTGGAATTGCTACCTTGGAGTTGGAGCAGGAGCTCCGCCTTTTCTCCAAGCTAGAGAGAGCTTACAAAAGTGAATGATCCATGCATGCACGGAGCCGGAAAGGCTCAGGCTGTAGGAACATGTAGTAGAGTTTGGATTTGAACTTTGAAAAAGGTGACAGCGTTGGCGCATTCTCCGAATCATGCTAATGGAACTGTCTTGCTCGCTCGAGGTAGTAGGTTGGGATTAGGTTTGTGGGGGCAGTGTTTCGTTAAATACTACTCTAGTACTTGCTGAGCTTAAGGCCTTGTTCGTTTCTGCTTACAAGTACTGTGGAGAGCAAGACAAGGGATCGATCACCTGAATGCCACGCCGTCTCCCCCTCTGCATGCATATGCATCTTCGCTCAGTAACCAAACCACTGGTAGATCGAGCTAGTACTTGCTGTATGCTGTCAGTCTTGGATACGTTTGGCTTCCTGCATCAGCATCGCATGTGCCATGTATGCAACACTGAATTGAAGTTTGACTGCCTAGGCTAGACACTTGCCGTCCCCTGCTGAAAACGGGCCATTTTGAAATGCTTGCTTGCTTCCGGCCGGCCGGCCAACTTTCCGGGATCGCCATCACATCGTATCTGCTCGAGGTAATGCCCATCATCAACGGTAATTTCACTTGGTATCGGTAGCTGGAAAGTTGTACTATAACTATTGTTTGACAATGTTGAAATGCTCATGCTATGACTACATAGATAAACGCAGTCAAAAGACTGTCTACTACACTTATATGTATATCAAAAGAAAGCATGCTTAAGCATACTAACTAATGCAGTACTCCTAGGAGTATATATATGCTCCATAATAAAGCTGCTAACTGTAGGCAAGATATATATAGTATGTTCCTGTGGTTAGTGCTCTCTGACAAATTTTTTTTCTTCCTGAAACCAAGTGCATGTTCTCAGTCTCTCACTCGGAAAGTCAAGCAAAAGGCTGTTCCTCTTTGACCTGGGTGCTCCGCACAGTTCCAATCTGCTGGCGCTGGAGAGACCCATCGCCGTGTGTGGAAGTCTACTGGTTCGAGTTCGATTTCGTCGACGCATCCATCGTATGGTCATGGACGTGTCCTCCACCTCCCGCTGTCGGAGGAAAAGAGTTTGGGAACAGAAAAAGGCGATCGGCCGGTCCGCCGGCCGTCGCTGGGTAGTGGCTAGCTTTCCGCCGGCCGGCGTGTGCATGCATGCCTCGGTGTCCACGCACGCGCGCGCGTGACTGGTATGGAATGGAACATCGCGCAGCCTATCATGCACGCATGATGCGCCGTATCACTGCACCTGCATGCACTCGCTCGCTCCCCTCTGTCCGAAACGTCACCTCGGTCTCGGTGAGTGCATGGCCTGTGCGGCCGTGCGCTCCACTGTTTGGAGATCGGCTCGCCACGAGGAAAAGTGACCGTCATCGATCACAGGACGCTCCACGAATGCCTGTGCCTTTGTGTAGTCACGCCACTGGTAAAACACTGTGTTGTGTGTGTGCGCGTCCATGCGCCTGCTGCTCCCTCCGTCCCAAAAACAAGCGACGTTTTTTTTTTACTTCCAGACATCGTTGATCGTTCGTTTTATTCAAACATTTTGTGTAAATTATAAAATAAATAAATCATTAATAAAGTATCTCTAATGATAAAATAAGTCATAACAATATAGATAATATTTATATAAAAATTTTGAATAAGACGAACGCTCAAACAAGATATTTGAAAGTAAAAAACTTCATTTATTTTAGGACAGAGGGAGTATGTTATGTACAACGTGTACGTACGTACAGCCCTGTGTGTGTTTTTTTGGGGAAAGAGCTGAAGCAAACAATGATATAAATATGATGTCGGTATATCAAGCACATGTGTTCGCTGATGGTTTCTACGGCGGATAAGCCGGCTCAAGTTGTTTTATTGTGAGCAGAGGCGGAACCAATGATTTTGATTAAGGGGGATCGGACAAATGTGATCGTATTTTTTAGTGTGATAAAATATACATAATTATATGTTTCAACCACTTTTTCAAAAAAAAATTACACTATTTATAACCAAAATCATAATATTTTCATAAAAATGGGTGAAATTGATATTTTTTGTGGTATAAATTCAAATATTTATATAGATATTAAATAAATCTACCTTGCTTTGGGGGCGCGGCCACGCTAGCCCTCTGGTTCCACCTCTGATTGTGAGTGAAAAATATTGTACCATGATGGATAAGCAAGCTGATAAGTTTGAGCACACGTGTGTCCCCAGGTGCTCCTACAACGCACGGCGGCACACCTGTACGTGTGTATTCTGTAATGTACGCGCGCGTTGCCACTGCCACGCCCCCCATGCATGCGTACATGACAGGCAGGCCGCAGGCGTGGCGCGGCGCTACACGGCCTATCTCTAGCTACTAGGAAGCGAGGCAACAAAGCGAATGCCGCAGTTATTGCTGGGCCAACCCAAAAGCGAGTGCATGCGATTGCAGCCTTGCAGGAGAGAGGATCCACAGCAGGAAGCCGCGGGCTGCGCTGCACGACGCCGCGACGCAGGCCGCAGGCCGCAGGCCGCAGGCTACCTTGGGCTAGCCTGGCTCTGGCTGGCCCCCTGTCCGGGATCCCGTCGCTGACCGGCCGGCCGGCGCCAGGCAGTCAGCGGCTGCGCAGCGGGCAGCAGGCGCTACAATACGAAGAAAGAGCTCGATCCATCGGCCGCTGCGGTCTGTCGTCGTTCTGACCTGCACCGGAATGCATGCCACGAGCAAAGCCTGCCATGGTACGGTACGGGGCGACGGGCGACGCGTCGGTTCGGGCCGCGCGTGGGCGGGGGCCCGAGACACGGGACTGGCATCGGAGAGGACGCAGACGGCCGGCCCGGGATGGTCGCCGCCGGCGACTGGGCTGCTTGCCGGGGCCAGTTTGATTAGTGCCGATGGCAGAGTCCGACCTGACAAGACCTTGTTTTTGAACAAGTGGAGCCCGCCCTTAAGCGCTTCAAGACTGAGAAAACGCACGCGTGCTTTGTACCCGACTCTGACTCTGTTCGGCAGGACTTATTACTGCTGTGGCTGATTTATAGGACTGTTTTATTGTGATAAAAAATATTGTTCCATAGCTTAAAAAAATAGAGCTGATTCTGGCTGATAAGAACATGGCCTCTGCTTTGAAAAGTCCGTGCTTGTACATGTCTCGGATGGGCTGGGATAAATGGGTTTTAACAAGGCCCACGTGTTTGGCCCGGCCCTAACTATAATGTGAAATGATAAACTTTATTTTGTGAACGGGAAACGATAAGGTTTACTAGCACAGCAGCAGCAGACAGTGCCATTCCCCTCAAAAAGGAAAAAAGAAAAAGAAAAAAACAGACAGTGCCACAGTGGCGGCATACTACACTGAGACGTTTATCATCTGCGAGTCTGGAAGCAGTAAATGCTCACATTCTGCCGCTGAGGTGTTTCTGCCTTTCTGCTCCTGCCGTCTGCTGCTTTCCTCTCGTGTCTTGGCCCGGCCGGGGCCGGCGGCCGTCGTCGGGTGAACACACGAGGACCACTCGCCGATCGAGGCACGGAGCAGCAGTACGCGGTGGATGGAGCAGAGCAGAGCTGAGCGGCCGGCGCTGGCTGGCCCGTTTCTCCGCCGTCGTGTCGCTCGCTCGTCCTCCACTCCACGCCCGCCTGTGCTGCCCTCACCGCAGGCGGGTGTGTTTGGTTGGGTTTCTTATTAAGGCCTGGCTAGCAAAATGTCCCCGTTCAAGATAAAACACTGTTTCAGATGATTCGTCGTGATACAAAAATACTGTTTTAGCTAAAAAAAACTAAAAAATACGGATTATAAGAGGAGCAAAGGCCAATAAGTCTGGCTAGTCTAAGACTGCATAGGATAGTAAAAAACCAGTTGTTTAGTTTAAGTCTGGCTATCTAAGATCTTGTTTGGTTGACAAGCAGGCTAGTTCTGGTATAGCCACCTCATCTTTGTTGGGGTGAGTTTTAGCTCCATCACCGCTCACCTCTCATCCTCTGTTCATGTTGGTATTTTATCGAACAGCTAGTGCACACACCGCCCACCAACGCGCTCCCTGCCCGTCGCGCTCGTGTCGTGTGAATCGAAGCCACAACACGGCGACATGGAAACCCACGCCATCATCGCTTAGCAGAGCAGAGCTAGCAGAGAGATGGATTAGAAGAGGGAGATAGATTATTTGGAGGAATCGAAGACCAAGACGTACACTACTCTTTGTTCGGTTCAAGATTTCAAGATTGTTCATGGGCTCCTTGGACACAATCAAACGCGTACGACTGTGCTGTGGCTGAGGCCTGCCGCCGTGCCCCTCCCTGCACGACGATGACCGAGATCCCACCTTTCCCGCCTGCACGCGCGCCAGGAGGACCCGGACCTATCCAGCGAATCCTGCCTTGGACGAGGAAGCCAAGGACCCTGCTCGAGGCGAGGATGCGGTGACGAAGGGTGCCTTCGACGAGCGCCATGGACCTCCGCAGCGGTGACGAACGGTGCCTTCGGCGAGAAAGGCATGGACCCAGCGAATCCTCCGGCGCACCAAGACCTCCGCAGCGAACGGTGCCTTCGACGAGCGCCGCATCCGCATCCGGGGCCGCATCTGCCTCATCCGCGTCCGGCTCCGGGCCTTCAGCGGTGGCGGCCTGGCGGGGTCCTTCGATGCTCCAGCGGCGGCGAGGTGGGAGCGAGATGCGCGCGGTGGTGGGGAGGTGATCCGATACGGCGAATGGCTGGACGGAGCCTGGCTTATGGGGAACGGCCACCCCGGCGTTTCCAGGAAGGCACATGTACAGAGTGCATCCAGGAAGCCTTAGCCCCCAGCCAAACACACCTTGTAAAGCTCCGGCGACCGGCGCAGACTGCCACCGCTGCCCTCTCTGCCATGGCCAATGCCATGACCCCGTTCCTCACCACCGAGTCAACGACGCAGTGAACGGCGACACCTGTGTAAGGGAAAAGCGTGTGGGGTTGCCAAGCTATATGTGCTGGGCTTGGTGACGAGCGAGAAAAGCCCACGAAAAGACACAGCCCAGCCCGGTTGTGGGTTTGGAGCCGAGCCGCCCATCTCCAGCACCTCCGTCCGTCGTCCACTCGTCCTCTCGTTCGCCGTTGTCTCCGTCTCGTTCGGGCTCGGCAGTCGGCCCAGGCGCGCGGCCAAACCCAGCAACGCAGAGGGCCTCTAATAAAAAGGCTACAAGAATGCAAGTCTCGTAGGAGGATGTTTTGGATTGGATTATTACATCGACCCAAAGCATGTGCTAAAATAAACTAGAATGACATGCCATTGCGCGGTAGAAATAACGCACAAAACCATCATCGACGGAAGAAGGAAAGCCAAGTTAGAGACTACTACAGTTTAATCACGAGGCACATGCACTTCCTCCAACCAAAAGTATAAAAACAATAATTTAGATTAAGATTTTATCATTTATAAGTGCTTCCCCCGTCTAAAAAAGAATATAATTCTAACACACAGTATCATGGCTTAGTATCTTAAGTTCCATCAATTATAGATAAAGAAGTATCAATATTTATGATATCAAATAAATATCATTAGATTAATTATGAAATGTATTTTCATAATAAATTATTTTGGAGCCGTAAATTATTTTCACTAGAAATTTGGTCAAACATGAACCAATTTTGATGGCACGCAACCGGCAGTTGCATTCTTCCGTGGATAGAGGGAGTACGTCCTTGTAACACACATGTCTACTATGCATCTATAAAGACAAAAAATGACACCTCTTATATAAGTTCCAACATAACACGCTTAGCCCGATAGTACTGACCATTACCTCCAACGATGGTTGAGTGCACGTATGCTGTGGTACACCCACCACGTACAGTACGCCGCAGCTACCGACCAACGCACCAGTACCGTATGTGAAAGCAAGCAGGCGGACGGATCGAGTCGGGCAGCACAGGTGAAGATGAGGCGCGCAACAGTCCAGGTGACCGGTCCGAGAGTCCGAGTCAGCTTGCGTGCCAGACTAATTAACGGGATCGAGTTGCGTGCACGTATTTCCTCTAATAATAACAATGCGTACGTGCGCGTGCCCGTAACAGGAATTACTACTCCTAATGCTAATTTGCCTGCATGTTTGGCCGCGTAAAAACAACCGAACAATGTTAAACACTCCTAGTAATAAGGCAAATATGGCCAAACACGAGTTACGTTTACGGGTTTGGGACGAAATATCGGAAGTTCCGTGCACGTATTCCTTCCTCTAACCATGCGGCGTGCGTGCCCGTGATATAAACTGATAATATCCTTACATGCTTGGCCTCGTAACGTAAACACCACGAGGTGAAGATCGGTTTCGGAGTACATCATGGGACTTTTTCTTTCTTTGCGATAACCACCATCATCTTTTTTTCACGAGCTCCCACAACATGGTCCTGAGGTCTTCCCTGAATATATTTATTTAGAAAATGCCACAAAACTACCCCCCCTATTTAAAAAGATACAGCATTTCACTCCATCTGTTTTCAAGGTTAGAGTTTTAAACCGACCATGTTTATAGAAAATACATCAATGTTTACAGTATTAATTAGTTTCTTAGATGCTTCATGTCATATATTTTGGTATTTTATTTATTTATTTGAACTTGTAGGTGTTAGTAATATACTTTCTGGAAAAGTAGTTAATTAAAATTAGAAAAACGTGACTCACAAGTAAGTTAAAGTGACCTATAATTTAACTCCTTCGCAACCATTATTTTTTTCTCTCCTGAAATCAAAATTCTAACTCCTCTGCAAAAAGAAAACTAAACCAAATTCCTAACTCAGCTCGTCTTTGCCTGTTTGGCACCTGTAATTTTCACACCAACTATTACACTGAAAATTGCACTAGTGCCTACTGGCTTAAGCTCGAGCACACGTATTATTCATAAAACATGCCAGGGTCCTTTCTGCAAAAGAAAAAAAATGCTCCGACTCCGATCATTATTTTATTTATTCACTGGTAAAGTGCAGGTGCAGTGGAGGTGGAGAGCACACGCCCCTCCAAAATTTATGGGACGCGAGCACACCAGCAAGCCCCACACGAAAAGGTGAGGAGCGCACGCAAAACCCACTCCACGGTGGGAGATCGCCGAATCCTTATCTGCTCGCCGCGCCATGGCCGCCGCCGCCGCGGTCGCCCACCTCTCCGTCCACGGCCGCCTCCGCCGCTCTCCGGAGCATCGTCCGTCCACCACCACCACTACCACCACCTCCTCCTCCTCCTCACCCGCCCACCGGCCGTCCCTCCTGCGGTGCCGCGCGTTCAAGCAGGAAACCGACGGCGGCGACCGCGACAGCGACCCGTCCGAGCACGACGCGCGGAAGCGCAGGAAGGGCCCGCTCTACAAGCTCAAGGCGGCGATCCAGGGCCTCGCGGGCTCCCGCTCCGCCGCCGCGGAGGTCTACGGGGGAGAGCACCAGTACCAGCGCGCCGTCGAGAAGGCGGAGGAGATCTTCTTCTCGGTGAGCACCGCACCGGCCTCCGTTCTGTTTGCTGCTCTCTATATCTCACCTGAATGATTGAAGGAATACGAGACGGTTCGCTGAATCATCGGCTAGCTGAATGCCGTGGCCAGGTTCGCTTCCCTGTGCCTGGCCCGCCTGCGAGCGCGTCACACTCACAGTCAGAATTACTCCCAATCAGAGGTTAAACGTGGGCTCTCATCTGCTCCACATCCTAATATCTACTTGATCATACAGCGTGGCCCCTTTGTGGAGTTAGCGTTTTTTCCTCACAAACCATGTTGGAACCAAGTTTCTACACCGAATTTCCATATCCTTCGTTCGTGCCTCTGTTTGTGCCGAAACTTTGCTTTTGTAAATTGCAGTGATATGTTGTGCAACTCAGCAACTGCATGGTGAACTAGTTTGAATAGCCTAACCATGCTGGAGTACTGGTACTAGGAACGCAAATAAAATGCCCAGTGCCTGCTAATTACAGTCAAAGTGCCTTGGCTATACAAAATTGTGGCAGCGTGAACAAACAAGGGTTTGCTGGGTGTTGCTACTGCTAGAGTTTCTGCATTGTACCTGTTCGATTGTGAGCCTGTCAAATTGTCCAGAAACCGGACATATGATTCAGGCTTGCAATGGACCATATCAAGTTGTATATCAACAGCTCGGATCACATTTTGTTACTCCATTTCTCCTGTGCAGCAGGGTTTCTTATGTGCTTGCTGATTTCTATCACCTTTTTGCAGGTTGCTACTCAGCTAGGCAGATATGCTATCACTATGATGAGCAGTGGTGTTGTACTTGGGGTTGGATTTCAGCTGTCAGGTTTGTCATACACTTGTATTGCACTGCCTCTGCTTTCTGCCTCTCTTTTCATTTCACATTGGTCTTTCCTGAAATTCCATTTAACTAGTCTGACTAATTTTTCCCCTTCTAGGTGGAGACAGCCAAATGAACGAACTGATTTGGTATAGCTGGCTTGGTGGGGTGATTATCGGTACAATGATAGGTGCAAACAGTGTCCTGGAGGAACACTGCAAAGCTGGACCTCGCAATGTCGTCATAACTGGGAGGTAGTTTATTTTCATCCTTTGCTCCGTATGCCTTCAGAATATTTTTCCAGGAAGTAGTATGCACTTTTTCATTTATCTTTTGACTTGTCCTATAAGAAAATATTGCACAACATATTCTTGATACTCGATAGCAAATAAATTCACTCTAAGAAACAGAAACTGTCGAAGCTAATGGATTTTCTCTAGTTGTGTAAGAAGGAAATAAAGTTTGGCTGTGCTTTCCAAGTTTTTGCAGTTTCACTGGTTGCGGCCATTGGATAGGTGGTTTCATATTGTTGTTTCCTATTTGGCGATTAGCATTGACAACAGTTTTTTATTTAAATTTTCCAGCACAAGAGGGTTAGGAAAAGCACTTGCTCGTGAGTTTCTTCTTTCTGGAGACCATGTTGTAATTACTTCACGAAGGTGATATTCATGAGCATAAGCTCAAACTTTAGTTTAGTTCTACAAATTTTCATACTTTTTCCTTATGGAGTTCTATGCTTTGTGTTAGTTTTAAATATTTTCTTTTTGTGAAGGCAGTCCTGAATCAGTCCTTCAGACTATAAAAGAACTTGAAGAGAACATACAGGAAGGGTTATCAGTAGCCAAAAAGAAAGAGAGGAAAATTTTATCCCATGCCAAGGTTGTTGGTACAGCTTGTGATGTCTGTAAACCTGAAGATGTGAAGAAATTAGTGAATTTTTCTATTAATGAGCTTGGCTCAGTTGACATTTGGGTAGGTAATTTGTTAATGTTTTCTAGCTTAAATCTGTATCTTATTTGTTACTGTTTTCTATTAATGAGCCAAGGCTTTGTTGTTGTTGTTGTTGTTGTTGTTGTTTCTAGCTTAAATCTGTATCTTATTTGGATTTTGGTCTACCTTTTGTTTTCACTAAACTGAATAGCTAGTCAAAGTTGGATTATACTGATTATGGACTACGGAGTTTATAACATTTACATCAGTTGTGAAATGTACTTTTATATATGACAACATTAAGATAAATTTTGTGGTGCCCACTTTTATGTTTTCCTGTACGGTAATGGTCCTATGGCTACATCAAACAACAATATTATTTACTGCTGCTTCTTCAACCTTGTTCACAGATAAATAATGCTGGCACAAATAAAGGTTTTAGGCCACTGGTAACCTTTTCAGACGATGACATCACCCAGGTTTGTTATTGTTATATTCTGCTGTGCCTAATACGTTTTTTTATGCGTGTATTGAACAGGTGACCTGGCTTAACCATGCTATCTTATTTCCATCTTTTTCATGTTGTTACAGATCGTCTCAACAAACCTAGTTGGCTCTCTACTGTGCACCAGAGAAGCCATGAATGTCATGCAATACCAAGAGAAAGGAGGCCATATATTTAACATGGATGGAGCCGGTTCTGGAGGATCAAGCACACCACTG